TTCGTCATCTTTTTTTACTTTTATCCGTTATGTTGGGAGCAAGCAACGACCCTGATCGCCCTTCGAGAATCAAGCGCGTCCAGCCGCGATCCAGAGTGTGGATCGATGCAGTGAGATGAGGACAGTGTATTGTGAATCGGCGTAGCTGCGCGAGTCGGTGCAGCGTAGATCGGCTTAGTCTGGGATTGCTGAACATCAGGCTCGATGAAAGAGCCAAAGTGCAAAGGGAACGACAGGACCGTGCTGAACGTGCGACCCCGACCAACACCAACCGAAAAACCCGGGCTTCCAAACCCATTGCGAACGTTTGATTATTCCGCTGTTTTAATAAACCCGAGCTTCGCTTGTGTCGCAAAGCTTCACTTGTGTACATTTATTACTGTTAATGAATTATCGTAAACTGTCCTAATAATTTCTCTTCCGTACTGTGCTAAAATTCGGTGGTGAATTTCGACACTTGAAACGACCCCAAGACTGAAGGAATCCAGTCACTACTCCCTATCCTACTTTGGTACATTCTGAAAGTGGAAAAGTCTTGCTTACGCTAAGAAATCTTGTACAACGCTCGATGTTGTTATCACAATGGTCCAAGAAAATACGAGCGAATGCTGATGGCACTGCTGCTAATATGAATTAAATCAGCGAAAGTGAATAAAGTTTATGACTCTTCCTCGTATTTCCTGCTTCCTCTCTCGTTTTACTTTCCCAGCTCTTATCAGAGTAACGGAAGTATGAATTGTTTGTCCTGATCAGCGCTCTAAACTGATAATATCCAATCCAATTATATCAAGAACACCAAGACTGCTCAGGCTGTCAGTGTGAGTATCCCTTGTCAGTGAGGTTACTAGGAAGCTATGCCAATTATAGATTTTTGGAAAGAAAACTGAATTTGGTAAGATAGTCTTTACTTGCTCTTCACAGAAGTCAAATAACTGGTTCTTCGTATTTAGTGTCGTGAAATGAATTCAGATGCTGTGAGGACTATAAAGCAAATTAGAAAGATGTACACAAAACTAAATGCGAGCGGAAATAATGCACCGAACTGTTTTGATTAAAAAATTACAGGCATGAAAACTTTAACAGAGATGCTAACGGAGCGAGAAGCAATTGCACAGCTTTGCGAAACGATTCTTGATGAAGGAACTGAACACTGGGGTGTTAAGGTAAGTCCAGTTTTTTTTTGATACAAAACAAACTTCACTCAATCATATTACAGAATAGGTGTTAATGTTCATGCATATTTTGCAACAGTATGCCAATGAACAACACATTATCAAAAGCTACAACTTTGCACAGTTTTTCAGAGTGATTCAGCTGAGGAATTACAAAGGCTAGAAAACCACAACACTGAGATATTTTTAATTTTTGAAATATCGAATTCAAACAGACACGTGTAGTTTCGATAAACTAAAATTTTAGCCCAAATCTTCGCGAACAACGATTCCTCCGTTTCTACGTTGGTGACTTCGATTCCATTATATGCTTTCGTTTTTAGTGTTCAAAATATTTTTAGCAGCGGCAAACTTTTGCATTATCGCAGAAATAGTAAGTGTAATAAAACCACTTTACAAATGCACCCAAAGCGTGCAATGCTATTTGCTCCTGCAAAATTCAAGGTCATTTCTCGCATAAATGTTGGAATTCGATTGTGAAGTCGGAAGATTTGACTAGTTGCAGGTGGAACGAGTTGAAGTGAAAGACATCAGATTACCTCAACAGTTAACTCGTGCAATGGCAGCAGAAGCAGAAGCTGCACGTGAAGCTCGCGCTAAAGTGGTCGCTGCGGAGGGCGAACAAAAAGTAAGTCCTGCTCGTTCAATGGTTCTTCAGTTTCTTCTGGGCAGTGCAAAAACGACTCCAAAATCACTGCGCGAGTACCGTGTGTGAGCTTTGGAATGAATGCTACTCACCTTTCGAGCATTTCTGATAATAAGTTGAATAATTCCCGAAATTTTCGTAATCAGGACATTTTGCTGGTAAATTGTGACTCTAAAGGTCTCTCGACAATGTGTGAAATTGTATTCGAATTTCGAAAGTTTTCAATACTCGTGTTTGAAAGTTTTTACTTAGCAAGAAAAACAGCTGCAATAGCTCAAAAGTGAATTTCTATGCACTTATGTATTGTAATTGCAGGCTTCGAGAGCTCTTAAAGAAGCTGCCGATGT